CAAATGAAACTTATCCTGACCCCGGAACTTTCAAGGTAGACATGAATCTTGAAAGTTTCTTTCAAAGGACTCTCAACTGGGCTAGAAGTGTCTTACTGGAAGAGGTGCTCAACTAACCCTTTGAGGGCGATTTGGCCTCTGTTCCTTTCTAACAAGCAATGTCTAGTTGATAATTTCTTTTCTGAAGTGCTAAATAAGAAGAAGACATGGACATAAATATTTGTTGCTGTTTGTTTCTAATTATTAGTATTTCTAATAATTTCCCCTCTTCCTTCTTAATATTATTTTCCCAAGATACACAAAATATCCTGTCTTTTTCTTGAAAGGCTGTAAGAATCTCATTCACAATTTTCTTCTGGTTCCTGGAAGATTGTTATCCAGGCTGATTAAAGAAGTTGTTTGGAAAGATTCACTCTTTCTTCGAGAAAAGGGTTAATATGCAAATAACACAAGGACAGCTTTGGCGTTTTAGGCATACCAGACCCTAAAGTGCCAAGAATACAGTATGCTAACTGTGAACGAAACAGTTTAGGTGTGACCAAAGAAAATCAAGACTAGAGGGAGCAAGAGTAACCATCATGAGCCTTGGTATTATAAAGCTGTACTCAACGTTAACTACTTCCTATTATGTATAGGTGTAAACCACTAGCCATCTAAATGCACAATTGTCTTTTGTGTATACAAACCTGTGGGACCCTCAACCCAAACCAGTCCATTCTCACACTAGACATAACTCATCCGTCCACTCAGTGCATATGGTCAGTAAATATTTGCCAAGTACCTGACGACAGGCAAGGCGTGGTGCCAGGATTAAGCTTGAGCTTAGTTTAGGAGGAGGGGAAGGAAGGTGTGAGAGTAAGAAAATGAGTTACTTTGAACAATGCTGTAAAGAATCACAAATGACCCAAGGCAGTATAAGGTAAAAATAACAGCTATAATATGTTTAGTATGTGCCTGGTACTGCTCTAAGCCTCTTCCATAAACCATATATTCTTTATAAAAACAGTTTCATTAAAGTATAATTTGAATTCTGTAAAATTTAACCATCTTAGGTGTATAGTTTGATTAGTAGCAGCAAATCTGTTCAGCTATGAAAGCATGCATACAACCCACCTTAAAAAGTTTTTGTCATGGGATTTGCTTATTTATTTTTACAATCCAGTTTCATAATATTTCCACACTCCCAAAAGGTCCCTTATGCCTCTATGCAGTTCCCTTCTTCCTGACTGGTCTGTTACTGTCCCCCTGCAGCTCTATCTCTGTAGTTTGGCCATTCCTAGAAATTGGTTATATTTATTCTCATAAAAACCCCTTTAGATAGATACTATTCTATATCTAATTTACAGATAAGGAAATAAGCCATAAGGGACTTACATGACCTGCCAAGGTCACAAACTAGTAAGGAATGGAGCCAGCATCCTGTGCAGACGATCTGATCCCGGAGTTTCACTATTATGCTAGCTACTGCGGATTAAACAGTATGAAAAGGCTGAGGAATTAGGAAGCGAGAGGGATCACATCTGGCTTTAGGGTTAGGGGGGAGTTAATGCAGGAGTTGGAATTTTGACAGGAAGGAATAAGGAGCATGGACTTAGCAAAAGCATTACATTAAAAACCTCAAGGCTAAGCATTTAGTGTATTCAGGAAATATTTATTGAGCATCACTATGTCCTTGTACCTCGCTAATCACTTTAAATCACTTTACATGCATTATCTCATCAGTCCTTAAATTATATTATTGTCCTCATTTTATAGAAAAGGAAGTGGAAAGTGTGAAAAGATCAAGCAGCATGTACAGCATCACAGGACTAGTAAGAGCAAGGCTGGGTTTTGAATACAATCAAGGTCTGTACTGCAAACTCAACACTGTGCTAGTTGGCCTCAAAAATAAAACAAAGCAGCAACAATGACAATAAAAAGCACATAACAAAACTAGTCTTTGGAGAGTTTACTCTTGTGCCAGAATTTAGAATAGAGTAAAAAAGAGAGAATGGAGACAGGTAAAGCAGTTCACTACTCCTACAACTGTCTGGGTAGAAACCTGGGGATGGAAGGAAAATTAAAATACGCAAACAGGAGTGGGAACAACTGAGAGGAATTTGTGGGTGAGGTGAGAGGGAAGAAATGCCTGGTAGTGACAGAATCTTTTTAGTCACCATCACATAAGGTCTCAACATTTGTCTTATTTTTTTTGTTTTGATACTTCCATCAAAAGTTTGGTTGAGACAATTGACACTGATGGGAACGACAGAAAGAAGAAATTTTAACAGACGGCTCAAGGACTTCTAATGGGATCCATGCATATACTTCAGGAATGTGTGACTCCCTCCTAATTGCAGGCACAATAATGTGTGTATATATGCTCATTCATTTTTCTGGGCAAAGGTACCGCAGCTTTCATCAAATTATGAAAGGTTATGGGGCCCCAGAAAAGTTAAGAATGATAGCCCTAAAGCACAGAGCAGCATCAATGGATGCAGACCCCTGCATGTACTTCAGGAATGTGTGAATGCTATGCCTTCCAGCAAGTTTACTCCTTTTTCTTAATTCTCTAGGCTCTATTCCTTATTAAGTTTCTAGAAAGCTATATATCAGCTTTTAATTATATTCTTTCCTTCTATAAAATTTGATTTAATGTGTAGTATACCAACAGTCATATACAGTTATGCATATTCATAAGATTACATATTCTTCTATATTTACACACACACATGTGCGCACACACAAAGACAATATACACATTTAAAAAATATAAGTGCTGGCAAGAATATTATCCATTAGGCTGATAAATTTCATATATAAGTGTATGAGATTCTCTCTAGTATATATAACTAGAGAGAAATTGCTGGGATACAGGATATTTGTCCTTTGTCTCTAATAAACAATGCCCAACTGTTTTCCAAAGTTGTTTATGAATTTATACTCAGACCATCTCAATTGGCGCAGTAAAAGTTTTGATGAAATTCTATACTCATTACAATAAGAAGTCTCAGTGAACGAGGTGGGAACTTCTATAACATGATAGTTACAAAAAACCTGCAGCTAAAATCATACTTAATGGTGAAAGAATATCCGCTTTTCCTATGAGACCATGAACAAGGTGTAAAGTCCACTTTTACCATTTTATTCTACATTGTAATGAAAGTCCTAGACAGTATAATGAGATAAGAAAAAATGAGAAGCATAAAGATTAGGAAAAAAGTAGCGGCTATGGAATAAATTGCGTCCTTTCCCCTTGCCAAACTCACATGTTGAAGCTCTAATGCCCACTATATCTCAGAATGCATTTGCAGAGAGAGCCTTTACAGGGGTCATGAGATTAAGCGAGGGCATATGGATGGGCCCTAATCCAATATGACTGGTGTCCTTACAAGAAGAGGGAGATATGCCAGGGATGCGTGCTCACAGCAAAAGGCCTTGTGAGGATACAAGGAGAAGACAGCCTCTGTAAGCAAGGAGAGAGGCCTCATGGGAGACCTACTGGAAAGAAACACAAGGGAACTGTCATGAATAATGGAAGAGTAATGCATCTTAATTGGGTGGTGGTTACATAGATATATACAATTGTCAATGTTTCTCAAACTGTACACTTAAGACCTATGCAATTTTATTGCATATAAATTAAATCTCAATTAGAATAAAAGCAAATGAAAAAAAGCCCCAGTTTTCTTGACTTTCAAGGCAGTGCTATTTTTAAGACTCTACTGATATCTCTTTGACATTGCCAGTCAGTCACCATAAGGACTCAGAAGGGACAAACATGCATTTCTTAAATCACTAAATCATTGCAGGTACTGAGCTCAAGAGGTTTAACTGATTAGATTCTTTTTGTGGGAAAATGAGGCAAGGACATAGAGAGAAAAGTCAGTATCTCTAATGTTACCTTAATTTATTCAACAAATATATAACGAGCATCTACCACATATTAAGCAATGGTCTAGGGAGATACAACAGTGAGCATATGGGGTGCTTATATTCCAATGGGAGAAATATGAAATATAAATAATAAATAAGTAAATTATATAGTACTTTGAGATACTTCTTTCTATTACAGAGGATGGAAAAGGTAGAGACTGTGGTTTAAGTGAGAATATGCCATATACACCAACTTCAACTCTCAAGGATAGTCTCTTGCATTTGAATTCCTTTTTTGAATGGCCTGGGCAGGACAATTTAATCTACATGTCTGAGTTTATTCATAGTCCTGTACTGTGCTTGTTTTCTGAGTTCTCTTGATAAAAGCATCAGCTTTAAACAGATCTTTTAGCTCTGATTTCTGGGAATCAGAAGTAATATCATGTGGTACCTTTTCTAATGATTACACACATAATCATAATGATGATGCTAATAATAAAATAAACATAAATAAGTGTTCCTGAGAGGCAAGATGGAAATGGTTTCTGTACTTTGGATACTCCAAATTGTTTATTTCTTTAATCAGTCACCGATTAATTTGTCATGGACTACAGAGAGTACTCGCATCACCGCACGCACAGGTTCACTTAGAGGAGCAACTAGGCATTTGAGAAATTACTCCTCACTTCAGATAAGTCTACAACAACCCTCTTCTAGTAAAAGAAAAATGTGTTTGGAAGCCCCTCAGGGAGCCTCAATCAGTGACAGCTGCTGTATATACATAACCTAAAAAAACTCAAAGACAAAATGAAAGGCCTGGTCAACACCATCAGGTAAATCAAAATTACTCTAGATTCAGCCTCTCTCAAACTCAAAGTTGGTTTTTTTAAATGGTTCTATTGATTTTTAGAGAGAGAGGAAGGGAGAGAGAGAGATAGAAATATCGATCAGCTGTCTCCTGCATGCCTGCTACTGGGGATCGAACCTGCAACCTGGGCATGTGCCCTGACAGGGAATGGAACCAGTGACCTCTTGGTGCATGGGACAATGCTCAACCAACTGAAACACACTGCCAGGCATCAAACTCAAAGTTTTAAGGGTATTCGGAGATCAATGAAATAGGAAGAAACAGGAGGTAGCTCTAAAGGTAGCAGTGGGCTTTGGGATGGCTGATATAGGAATGGGCGGTGACAAGCCCTGAAGCCTAACATTTCAATTCTGGAACATGTGTGCTCAGGGGCCTCACAGCCTCTGCTAGCCCTTCAGCATAACAGGAAAAAACGCCCTCAGCTTCCTGGGCTCTTATGCAAGGGAATCAGTGATTGCTCAGAAAGAGAAGGTTCAAGAAGGCAAGCTGGGAGAGAATAAAAACACCGCTGTGTAGGAAGGAAAAAAAAGAAATGAAGGCTGGTGCTTCCAGATTTGTGCCTTTGGCTTAGAAGTTCTTTACTCAAGTGTAGATTTTCCTAGTAATGTCTCCTTGTTCCACGTAGCTCAATAAAAACAACTAAAATAAACCATTTCAAGCATTGTTGACTGAAAAACAATTTATATTTTAAGTGTGATTCTGACAATACTGTACTGTACAATATTTTTGTGATCACAAGGTTGTTTCCTGAGACAAGAGTCAAGTTTTGTTTTTGTTTTTTTTGTTTTCACATGTTTAGTATGTATAAAGTTGCCAGAATGGTAGGGGGATAAGAGAGGTAAAGGAGAAAGAGACTGATAACAGAGATTAAGGGTCCTGCAGAATGACTCAAAGGGGCCCTCCCTCAATGATCAGGCATATCATAATTTTGCAAATGCTCCACATTAGAATAAAGAAGAGAAAAATACAAGATACCCTTTCCTACAAGTAGGAAAAAAAAGTTAAGTCTTGTGAGTACAATGCCTTAAAACAAAATTTATTTGAAAAGATGAAAAAGTTTCAAATTTTCACTGCAACATGACACCCCCCCCCAAGAAAAAGGAAGAAAAAAAAAAACCTAACGAAAAAAATAAAACCATGAGTGAAAACTGTTCCTGAAAACTTTGCAGAATTGTAACAGCTCTCTCTTGGTGAAATTGATTGGTATAGCAACATTATAAAATGACTATTAGGATTCATTGTGCACAACAGAAAGTGCTGAAATGTCAGCAGACTGTACAGCAAAAAGTAATGGGTTCTGAACCCCTGTTAGTCAAAAATGATTTTGTTTCAAATTAGAAATTGATTTTTTTTGGATACAAGCCCTTTCCAGGCTTCCGGCTTCCACAGCCAGGCCCGGGAGAGATTAACCTCCACCATGGCAAGGGCTGGCTAGATGATACCTTTTTTAAAGTGCCTTTTCAATTGCAGCTTTCTAATGTGGCCGTGGTCTTAACCAATAACACAAGTTATTTGTCCCTCTGCTATTACACTACATTTTTCTCTTTTGGCATTTTATTTTTGTGCTGACATACAACACAATTCGGTGACAAGTTAACAAAAGACTACGGTAAGCCTTGCAGTACAACCCCCCCGCCCCCCAATTTTGACTGGTTCTCCACTCTCCAAAGCGCAATGACTAAGAAGAGAGGAAGCCAAAGGAAGTTTCCCCGTTCTGAATGACTACTCACAGAGAAAGGAAAGAAGATTCGATCTCAGCCTCCTGAATTTCATTTTTGTTTCTAAGTTGTCCTAAAGCAATGGAGGTCTGCGGAACTTTCCCCTTATGTCAAACAAAAGAAACTTTTGCTTTAGTTTCAAATTGTAGATAGTCTCCATTCTGAAGTTCGGACTAATTATCATCTCTCAGTTATCTGGGAGAGGATTAAACAATTTTTAGATTAATCATAATTAAAATAAAAAAACCATGACAACGGGGGAAGGTGAGGAGGAAAGGCAGGGAGTGTATACCTGCAAGATCTCATAAAGCATCACACATTTCTCAGAGAAGCATGTGCAGAGTGTCTAGGGAGATTATGAAAACTTGGTTGCTCAATACCAGAGATGTGCCGGTGTTAGCCAGTAAAAAAGAGGTAAATAAGAAGGAAATCAGGGTTAATGGTTGTGAGCAGGAAAGAAAGATGTCTGGAACAGAGGTGTGAGCAGAAGGTCCTCTGTGACCTGTTTTGGCCCTTTGTTTCTGTATAGCTCTTCTGTACAGTAAGCGCAGGCTGGTTCCATTCTGCTCCAAAATCCTTCCCTTAATTATTCCAGGAGAGCTCGGGGTGGTGAACACACAATACAATATACAGGTGATATATTATAGAGTTGTGCACCTGAAACCTATATAATTTTATGAAACAATGTCACCCCAATAAATTCAATAAAAAAGAAACAAAATAACTCCAGGAGAGATTAAGCCAAAGAAAGCCACTCCAGAAACAATTGGGAAACACAATTAAATTTAACTGCTTCATTCAACATTTCACACAGTTGTTTATAATTGATTTTAAAAAATATCCATGACATATAAAATAGGAAGAATTACTGGTACTTAAGACTGCTAGGCAATACATGCTTAAGACTTATGAGGTTTTGTTTCAGCCATAATGTAGAATTTATCCATGACCTCTCCTCCACCCTCCCCATATTTCCAGTTAATTGAAGACTAACTGTAGTTGTTAGAGTTTACTTTCCAGGCAGAGATTTATGTTCAGTTTCTTGTCCTCTTTACTCACTTTGAACATTATTTTGTGTCTATGACCATAATTACTGCTGAATAAGTCTTACAGTTTGCTGCTTGTACAAAGAGAGACAAATGGGAGACTTTCTCATATGAGTATTCTAAGAGAAATGTTGATATAATTCACTGATCTAGATGTGCTACCTAGACCCTGCAGGCACATGTCAGTTTATAATAAGAAACATCAATGATGAGAGAGTCATTGATCAGCTGCACGCCCCCTGCTGGGGATCCAGCCCGAAACCCAGGCATGTGCCCTGACAGAATCGAACCACGATGTCCTGGAACATAGGTCGATGCTCAACCACTGACCCATGTTGGCTGGGCTGTAACATATTTAGCACTTGCTCAGGGTTGTAGGAAATCTCTGGAGTTCATGGCTAGTAGCCACCAGCAACCACCTGTCCGCAACAGGTTTTCATTTTGCTATTATAGGTGCCAAGCTTACCTCTTTGGGGTTGATATGTATTTTTCTTTTGACATGTCCACAGGGCATCATCTTCCACAGGTGACTGAAACCCAACTGTCTTCTTCTCCCTTCTATTCTCTCCACTGTTAGTGGACTCTTGGTGCTTTTTGATGGATGATGATGTTCCAAGCAGCCAACCATCACATGCTGACTTCAACAAACTGAAAAGAATAAACAAGAATGAGCTGCAGAGAGCACAGAAGGGGTACATATCACACAAAGGCGTATAAATTCAGCATGAGTTGAAATGCAACTCATGGCAGTAAAAACTTTCTTCTTCTTCTTTATTTAATTAATTTTTTTGTTAATCCTCTCCTGAGGATATTTTTCCCATTGCTTTTCAGAGAGCATGGAAAGGAGGGGGAAGGGGGAGAGAGAGTGGACAGAGAAAGAAAAATCGATGTGAGAGAGACATTGATTGGTTTCCTGCAGCATGTGCCCCGACCAGGGCTGGGGATCGAACCTGCAACCCAGGTAGGTGCCCTTGGCCAGAATCAAACCCTCGACCCGCTGGTACACAGGCCGAGGCTCTAACCACTGAGCAGGGCGGCTCTTCTTTTTTTACCGGGGTATAATTTAAGTAACTTCCTGAAGGCCTATGTGTGCCCCGCCGCCGCGTTAGGGAAGAGATGGTCCTTATCCTCCAGAAGCCTGCACTTGGCCGTGGGGGCTGGGGCTCGGACCCGCGAAGCCGCTAATAAAGCGGCGGCGCGGGACTAGGAACCAGAGCACCAGGAGAGTGAAGTGTGCTACCGGGACCTGCACGGCTGGGATGGTTCCGAGCACCGAAAGTGAGCGTTAGGGATTAGAATGCCACCAGCTGGCTTCAAAGTGCTTTTGCGTTCCTCATGTTCAACTGTTTAGTGTTTATTATGTACTCAGAGTGTTAAAGAAGGCAGTACAATGACAGTGCCTGTGGAAGAACTGGTCTCTGTCCTCACGTAATTTCATTATAAAGCAACAAGGTAAATATGGAGAAAAAGGAATTTTAATAAAAATAAACACGTGCATATGCTTTTCTCTCTAATAAATTGTACTCCCATCTTAGCACATTTCCTCTTATCAAGACATTTTATTTTTTAGAGAGCAATGTTCTGATGATGTATATATATCCCTTACTATTCTACCAGCCGTTTCCTTCTAACTTAAGTTCACCACAGACTCATGACACTTTGGTTTCTCTTCCCCATGTCCATAAAGTGAAAATTAAAGTGAAGAACAAGAAGACTTTTATTCAAAAGTAAGATTCTAAAAATTAAGATGTTTAAACTTCCCAGAAGCAGAGATAATCTCTAGACAAGAAAGAACTGATAGAGTATTACTGGATCCATTACTAATTCCAGGTGGCCCTGGGCCAGAAGTCAAATCACGTAAACCCATCAAAGTCGCTGGCCTTCTGTTTGCATTGATCAGAACTTTTAGTAATGTTTGTTCATATTGTAACTTATTAATAAAAAACAAGAAATTAAATGGCATCATGCACTATGGCTTTATATGGGCATAGTGCAATGTATTAAATTCATAAAGTGGTTTTTTTTTTACCAGAACCCAGGGATCACTTTCCCATGAGGAACCACTAATGGATGTATATCTTAGTTCATATAACTTCTACTTACGGGATAGGAGAACAGGAGAATAAAACCCACTCACTGTGAATGAAAGATAAATCTACCTCAACCCAGAAGCCCCAAACCCAGGCAAAACCACCAACTACACACACCTCTGCTGTTACCGTTTCTAGAAGTTTGGCAGAGAAGAGAAGGAGAGAGGAGATGTTAATATAAAGGAGATGGTGAAAGTTTTTGTTTTTTAATTATAAAAGTACATGCCTATTGGAAGAAATTAGAACATTCAGAAGTATATAAATTAAATTATAAAAGTCTTTCTCTCAGCCATTCTATTTCTATTTCTCTTGCTTGGTACGTAAATATTCAGAACTTTAAAAATATTTTTTGTATATTTTTGTTTCTACAAAAATGAGGTCACACTATACATTTTTATTGCAAATTACTTTTTTCTTTTTTAGAGGACAAATCCAGCAGCCTTTTCTCTTTCAACAGTCTTGCTTGTTACCAGACCACTTCTCAACAATTGGCTCCTTTCTTAAAACTTTTTTTCCTTGGACTTCATAATACATTTTCTTGATTGTTGTAATAGTTTTAAGAGGCTTCTACTCAGATTCTTTTACTGGGAACTCATCTGTTTCTTCTCCCTAAGTGCAGACATTCCTGAAGATTCTGTCCTGTCCTTCTCGGTCTCTTGCACACTTTCTCAGTGATCCTGGCCACACCACTGTATCTTCAATTATGATTTCTCAATAGATCTGTCCAGCCAACAGTGCTGTCCACGACTGCTCAACTGATCAAGTATCTGGTGCAAAGCTGGGAAGGGAGGTTTTGTCATACTTCCCAAACCATCTCATGTCAAAGCAATGCACAATCTTTATCTTGAAACTAGTTCCTCCATCTGTTTCCATTCTATTTAATGCAATCCCCATTCTCCTTGTCACTCATATGAAAAACTTCAGTTGTCTCAACTTCTGATTCAATAAATTACCAAATCAATAATTCATTTATATATTCATCAGCTACTTATTGAGGACATGCTCTATGGCAGGATAATACGCTATGGGACTGGGGTGGGCAAACATGTAAACAAATATTTATCAAGTACTTGATATATGCTGGGTACTGGGTATACAAACATAGGTATATGAAGACCTGATTCCTATTTTCAAAGTGATTTTTATTTTTTAAGGTAGAGACAAAGATGGAAACGGATCATTTAAAATCTAATAAGAAAAAAGCTGTAATTCAGGAATATACAAGTTGTTCTGGGAAGACTAAGGCAGGGCACCTAACTCTATCTGCATAACTGAAGGAATATTCCTAAAACTCTTAAACTAAATTTTAGTGGTTAAGCAGGAGATAAGGAAGGATGAAGGATGACAAAAGAAACAGTATTAGCAAATATACCAACTAGTAAAACCTCATCATATATTTTGGACAAGTTAAACAGTTTGGTATTGTTACAGCATCAAGTGTGGGGTATGGGGTGGGGAGAGGAGGAAGGTGAAACAGGACAGATAAGGGAGGGTCAGATCATAAAAGGTTTGGTTACCTATGTCAAGGGGCTAGAACTCTATCATATAACCAAGGTAGAGTCATTAAAGGGCTGTAAGGGGAAAAATGACATGATCCATCTCAAATTTATGAAAAATTACTCTGGCACCATTTCGAGAACAGACTGCAAGAAGCTCATGAGTCAGAAGGTGCTGGAACAGCTCTGATGAGATGATGAGGGTCTGAAATAGAGAAGCAGTGGTAGGAATGGAAAGGAGATAGCTTGTAAAACATATTTAGGATTCAAAATTGGCAGAACATGATGAGTGTTTGAATGTCAAAGTGAGGGAGAAAAAGGAGTTGAGGATGATTGGCAGAATTTTGGGTGGATAAGCAACACAGAGAAGATGTGGGAAGGGTGGGAGAAATTAAATGTAGCTTGAGGTGCCTATGAAACATTTGGGAAGATATTTCAAGAAAGCAGTTGGATCAATAACTGTAGCTTTTTTGCTCATTGGCTGACTTTAGGGTGGTGGGGTTGAGACAGACAGGGTTGAGGAAGTATATGCTTCACTTTCAATTTTCTTGGTGAACGCAAAGGTAAACTCATTCCTGTGAGTGAAAGAAATGGGTGCTGAGGTAGGCGAAGGTCTGAAGTATGTATTGAAGGGAATTCAAGATAAAAATGGCCAAGAACAAGGAAGAGACTTCCCTACAATGTTGAAGGCCTAACAATTAGAATCATAAATTTGTATCAGGGTTCAGGTATACATATGTGAAAGCAGAGAAAGCTGTCTGAGAGCTTGCTTCAAGTTAGGATTTTATTGGGAGGGCAGCAGACTGAAAGTCAACGGAAGGTTCAAGCTCCAATACCCAACCCCAGTACAGTGCCCAGTATGAAAGCCCTCCCCACCCAGCACAAGGTCTGATATTCTGTGCTACTTTGCTCTCCTCTGTGGATCAGGTTCTAACGCCCCATGATCAAATTAATTTTATGGTATAATGGGAGATAGGGATGGAAGTTCATTTTTTTCCAGATCTATATCCAGCATTATTTAAGAAGACTTTCTTTTTGCCACAGAATTGCTTGGCACCTTTGTCAAAAGCAATTGAACATATGAGTGTGTGGACGTATTTCTGGACTCCATTCTGTTCCACTGGCTTATTTATCTGTCTTAAGGTGAATAGCAACCTGTATTGATTAGGTAACTCTAATTTACATTCCTAATATTGGGCAGAATAAGTCTTTCAATTTATTCTTCTAAATTGCAGAGACTGTCTTTGCTATTCTAGGCCCTTCACATTTCCATATAAATTTCAGAATGTTTGCCAATTTCTATAGAAGTATGCTGGAATTTTGACTGAAACTGCATTGAATCTAAGCTTCAATTTGGAAAAAATTGGTATCTTATTATTGAGTGTTCCAATTCAAGAACATGGTATATCTTTCTTTCCATTTACTTAAGCTTTCTTAAATTTATCTCAGCAGTATTTCATAATGATCAATGAAGAGGTTTTGTACTTTTTTTGGGTTAAATTATTCCTAGGAATTTGATGGTTTTTAATGCTACTATAAATGCTTTCTTTTTAGAATAACTGCTAACTTATATCTATTGCTATAGGATAGCCAACTGCTGTATTTAAAAATAAAATAGATTTTATTCAAACTTGAACTTGAATTCTGTGTATTAAATTCATTAAATAATTTTAGAAGTTGTTTCTGTAGCCAGTCATGTTATTCAAAAATAAAGATAGTTTTACTTATTTCTTTCCAATATTTTTCATGGCTGATCATACTAGCTAGATTTCCAGTGTCATGTTGAATGGAAGCAGTACTAGTAGACATCCTTACCTTGTTCCTAAAAGTGTTCATCATTAAAGAGATGCATCTTTGTTCATACCCTCTATCGAATTTCTAGTTTGATGAGAGGTCTTTTTTTCCCCCATAACGAATGAGCATTGTGAGAGTTAGGTTAAATGCTTTTTCTGCATCTGTTTGAGATGATGTTTTTCTTCTTTATTATGTTAATATGGCAAGTTGACTTTCAAATGTTAAGCTAATTTTGTATTCCTGGGATAAAGTCTACTTAGTTAAGCTG